CTATGTTTTGCTTCTGGTTATTTTCTTACATATTTTCAGATGCATCCACAGTAGCCAGCACACAAGCCAAGACACACCTCATTGCAGTCCTAGCATCAGCACAGAACATGTAGCAGTAAACATATGCTCAAAGAATAGCCTTCATTTATTCAAGTTTCAGTGCTAAATGTTGCTATGCAAGTAAAATGCATAGTTTGTAGCAAGAGCTAACATTGTTCTCAAATCTACAATGGAGACAGATTTCCCAGTCTATACATAAATATATGCTTTTTAGCATCTGATTCCTAACTAGCATTACACAGCCCTCTTTCATGTCAATCCCTGCCAACATTAGTGAAAGGTTGCTTGCAATAATAAGGATTTCAGCATCAAGACCTTTAACTACTCGGGGGAATGAATCTAGGCAGATAAAGCAAAGTCTTCACAATGCATAAACCATGGCTCAAAAGTGAATGCAGGTTTGAATAAAGTTTGTTTTTTTCCTTGTTTTTAAACATTTTTATTTATCTTTGAATTTTCCTGGCATACAGATAAAAGAAGAACAAGAAGCCAAACAGAAGGACAGCAAGTCCTAAAGTTTTCCCTAGGAGATTGTTATTAATAGTTTTTTTAAATCAACATTCATAGTTGTCTGGTCTAAAAGTAAGCCATCTTCAAATTATGCTCTAATATGAAATCTAGCATGCATTTGAACAGCACTTTTTAGGTTTATTCATCTCTGCTTTTGTAAATAAACAAATAAAAAAATCTCACAATCTTCTATTCCCAAGTATCTCTTAAAAATAGCCAAGGAAGAAATACAACTTTCTAATGAAAAGCTCTGGATGCTTTTTGAAAAGTTTCTTGTCATTCAGTGTTTTGAGGACAATGTTGCAAATTTCTCAAAGGTGATACAGTTGCACCTGACCCACTTTCTACCACTCTGTGCTAATCCTCTTCAACGCTGCATGTTATAAAATTAGCATCCTGTGATACCCAGCATTAGTACTGCAATTCAATAGCTGTATTCACGGAAATCTCAGGACAAAAATGAGAATCATTAAACTGAACATGTCAGAATATTTCATTCATAAGCAGTAAGTCAAAGAAAAAGGAAGAAACCTTACGAAATCTGATCCCTCTATTGCAACATTTATTATTAACTTTAATATGAAAAAATGACATAGAGGATGATAATTATTGCTAAAATATCAAATTTTGTAAGGCATACTCTGGACACATTAATGCATACTGCCTCCCCATGAAGCTGAACACATTATGGCTCACAATGAGCTTTTTTAGAGAGATTTCAAATCATCTTAAAATATCTTCAAGAGGTGCTTCATAATGCAGCAGGGTTCAATGCCAGCAAAAAGAATCAAAAGCCAAGGCAGGGCTCCAGTGGCACGGACGGTCACCATCCTGTCTGGGGAGGGCAGGATGCAACAAGCCAGAGAGTGAATAAAACACTATTTGAGTAGCCTCCAGCTCAGGTAATGCTTTTTTGAAACACATTTCTGAGATCTAATTAACCACCAGCAGTCACAGGCATGGTCACTTGAAGTTTTTTTAAAGCCTCTTCTCTGCAAATCCCTCTTCTCAAGTGCATTGAGTCAGCTGGAAAACTCTGCTATTTCTGAAGGCAAAAATGAATAAATTATTTTATTGCCAAGTTATAAACTAATGAGTACATTATCTCCAAAAATCAAACAGTGCTCCTGAGGAGAATGGGAAAGATTCTGATCTGACAGGACTTAAAACTGCAGCAAAACAGCTGAAATCCGTGCAGTTGCTCTATTTCACACCAATGTGGCTTGAGATGTGAATGAGACCGAAATGAATAACACTGATATTTGGGTTGGTTTTTTAATATTTTGGGTTTGCTCTCATTAGACAGTACACAGGCAGTCACTGAAATGCGTTTTTTAACCTTCAATTAAATTTTAATACTAATGTACATAACAGCATATATGAAACATTTCAATATTATGCTTATCAGAATTCCACTGGAGAAGATGGTATGGTGAAATACACAGTTTAAGCCATGCAAACAGCTTTATTAAAATAAAGGATCAAAATTTTGGGACCTGTTAAATCTATTTTCTGCTTTTAAATGGCACACACTGGCACTTTCAGTTTCCTAACTTGAAACATTTATTTTAAAAAAGGGAAACTTTACAAAGAGATTAATTGAGGTCTCCCAAAACATAATTGGGAACTTGAAAAACTGCACTGAGGTTTAGAGAAAGTCATAGATAATTTGCCTGACGTACCCTGAAGTGCATGAAATAATATACTATAGCTTATATTGTTAAAGACAAATGTACAGACTTTGGCCATGCACTTGAATATATGGTTTCTGAAATCAGTCTTCTGGAATTTTAAAAAGCAACTGGTTCTTCCACTGTTCTTTTCTGAAACATAGATCTACTGAAATTAGGGATGAATCCAGGTGTTCATTACTAAATTCAGAATTTGGCCCACAGGAAGAATTTCTACCAGTTTACCAGCATATTGCTTCCCCTCAGAAGCAGGAAATTGTGGTGCCCTCCTCTAGTGCCAATCATCATATGTGCTTTCATTTTAAACCTCTATGCTACGTGAATCCAACCAAATAGCTCAAGAGACTCAAAATAAAAAACGTGTTCATTTGCACCCTGCCTGATCCATGTCCTTGCTTTTCTTTCTAGTCACTTCCCATACTGCGATGTTTTCTGCCTGTGAAATCCACGGCTGTGGCATCACAGAAAATAAAATCTTACATCAAGTTATAAAAGGTGCCATCCCCGGCAAACGTCTGAGAGTAAACATACCGCTTATAATTAGGATTCTGACAGGTCCCTGTGAGAAGCAGAATCTGGAGCCAGATGCAAGCACAAAGGAAGCTTTTGCCCCCTCAGGTAACATTACAGGGAAACCCAGAGTAACTCGGTTATCTTACAAGCAGCAACACTTGCAAGCTAAAGAGCTACTAACAAAAACACAGAGTGACACTAAATATAAAGGATTAGTTTCAGCAATGCTAGAAGGGAGAAAAAAAAATTGAAAGTAGAATATTGTAAAAGCAAAAGTAAACTGTAAAATAAATATTTCAGGATTTAAACTAATAATAGAAAAAACCATAAATCATCTTTACAATTGCTCTCTTTCCTACCAAGCATCCATCCTCTCCAAACGGATGCCTATTACGAGCTCTTCAGTATACATTATAGGATAAAGACGACTGTAGGAATCTAATTTACTACTGCAGGGAAGAGACACCACAGAGAAGGCTGGAGGAGTAGCAGAAAATCCTGGAGTGTGTTGAATTTTTCTAGAAGACTAAGTATCACTCTGTACAGTGTGACTTGTATAGAATGACACATAACACAAAGCCAAGACAGCCAAACCAAAGGTCACCTTCCTTTCCATTTCTGTCCTTCTGTTTGGGGCCAGGAACCTAAGGATTTAAGGCACTAGAGGGTAACAAAGGCAAGCCTGAATAAAAGGCACAAGCAACCATAAAAATACAACACTGTACAGTACCAATACTAGTACTAACAAAAAATGTGGTTGAACTGTTCCTCCTGAAAGATTAAGCTGTTCCTGTGATTTCTTATCTATTTCAGGTAAGAAATACTGAAAAACAGTAATTTTGAAAAGCCCATAGAGCACAGTGCAAAGTGTATTTGTTACTGAACTCGTCACAGTGATGACAGTCTCTCAGAAACTCTGATGTTTCTGACATTGCTCTGCAATGCGGCCACTGGAATAACTGCCTGTAAATTATAGAAAATCAGACTCAAACTCTAGAAAACACTTTCCTCAGCCAGATTATTTTTCTTCTTCTATGGCTGCCTTGTGGTCAGTTCCCCTGTGTCCAGAGGCCTCAGGCCCTGCAGCACGAATAGCCATTCAGATTCCTTGAGCTCGTCTTTGAAAGATGCAGGAACGAATGTCTACAAACACACTGCAGAGCCCAAGTCCACCAGTCATAGTTGTATTTAATTTTTTTTTTCCCTACCATATATTGTATGAGGAAGTAGGCAAAAAATAAGGCCACCAAGAGTGCATCAGTAAAACAACATGTCAAATGACTACATGGTGAAGCAGATCAAAAGTCTACCTGAGGTTCACAAGAAGTTTCTAAGTCACTTGCATGCATGTGCAGACATGTTGATTTATTTTTTTTTTTACTTTGTTCATAGTTTACCATTTCACGTGATTTTTCATTTACCTCATCACATTGATACATCATAAATTGTGCCATAAATTAAGAACAGCAACTGATAAATCCTGCATGCCAATTTACCCACACTGTTCCATGAGTAGGTGTTTCAAGAAAAGTTTGGTCAGACTTAGGTAACTCCAAGTATAGTAGTATTCACTGGGACTGGAATTAGATTTGACATAAGACTCCATCAAGTTGTTGGGTTTTGCGTGTACTTTAAAGAGTCAGGATTTCACTTTTTCCTTCCTTGATGTAAGCAGAAGAGAAGATGATGAAGTGCATAGCCTAGGCTGGGGAACCTACTTGTTTCCCAGTAAGTTTCTTTTCTGTACAAATCTGAGATACATTTATGATCAGCAGTGAGTCGCAGGATCTAGCTACAGAGGAGAGGAGAACTGGAAATCTAAAGGAGATGTCCAAGAAACACAGAAAAATGTTTTATACAAAAAAGAAACTGAGCATGCACATGCAATCATACAACTGAAACAGGAAGAGCACAGAAAGCATATAATCTTGAAAGCACTCTGAAGTACTAAGAGTAAAACTTCTTAGGTCCCTAATCTATCATTACACTCAAAATTCTGCTTACCAGACACCTTAAACATATGGAAACAGCACCCTATCTCTGTATATACTCTTTTTAACATGCCCGACTTGTACATATTTGAAGACAGCCCAGCAAGACTGTGGGATGAAGGGAGAAAATGCACTGACAACATTTGAAATGCCACTGGGATGAGCAGGAGCCAGAATTCAAGGATTCTCATGTATGATTCAACCTCGGGGCGGGAGAAGAACCAAAACCTCTTACCATTATTACTGTTATCATCAACTAAAATAATTTCTTTGAGTAGGTGAGCAGGAGTCCGGTCAATGGCTGAATGAATGGAGCGCAGAATCACCGAGAGAGCTTCATTAACAAATATGAATACAATGCTGACCTCAGGAAGCCTGTCAGGAAATGTAAGGTTTCTGCACCTAAAGAAAAAGGTTAAAAAAAAAGTAAACTGTTAGAATTCATTATGTCAACACAAACTGTTTCAGACAAATCTATCCCCAGCCATAAGAATAAGAGAGCTTTTGTAGGCATGGATCAGAAGGTCCCCATATCTGTTCAGAGCACATATAGGCAAGAACCAGATGAATTACTATCTTAAAAAAGAAATCCCTGAAAAGAATCTCCTGAATCTGCCTATGCAACCAAGGCCTAGAGGGAGCTCACTTTTCCACTCGAGGCCCAAAACACTGCAAACCAGACAAACGCTGGTTAAATACAACTTCCAATAGCGATTGCTCACAATGTCTTTCTGGATAGTGCAGACAGGAATAAACAGTTAGGTCCTTACTTTAAAAAGTGTCTTCTTAACAGCCACAGTAATTACTTTTTGCTACAGAAGCTACCATCTATCTCAGTCAAAATCAGAAGCTTCTTTCTCAACTCAATAACAACACAGTAAAAGATCCAGCTCCAAAGAACATCCTGCTACAAAAGCTAAGACAGCCTGTGTAGCCAGAAAAACAGGCACAAGGATGGAAAACTTATCTGTAAGTTCAGTCGAGAGGTTTAATTAGAATGAGGAATACTCTTGTAACCTGGTGGATTTTTCTCTGGTTTTTAAAAAGATTTTTTTAGCCACATTCCAATTTGCTTATGCAAACAGCAGTATGGAAATGTTGCCCACAACTCTGAAGTTACTTAGTGTTTTATTGGTTGTTTTCCTCCTTCATTTCAAAAAGGATTTAAATTTTACAATTTTATGAAGAATAGAAAGCCCTTTTACCAATTTATATCTCCTAAACTGTCAGCAAAACATTTGCTTTCTTAACAAAGCCACAAGTTAATTAAGTAAAAGTAATTAACTACTTTTCTCTGAAACTTTTAGTATTTTAATGAAATGTTTCTGAACAACAATTAATTCTACCTTTTTCTCAGATATGAAACTATTTACTAGGATGAAATTAGGCCACAGGCAGACCCAGGCATCATTTCTGGATAGGCTCTGTAGATGGAAATGACTGATGTTAATGCTCGTCTCTGCCTTCTGACAACACCGGCTATCTTCTCTCAAGACGCCGAGATTCATTACAACCAGGAACTCCTGAAAGCCGTGGAAAGCATTATGAACAGCCAATGCTCAGCATACAGAAAGCATGGATGGATTCAGAATTTTTACATCATAATACTTGAATAAGACTCCTTAACTAAATCTGTTCTTCAGTTCAAAGAGAAAGCACAGCATTTTGGGGGGATCTTCCATTTTAATCTGTATAGTCAATAAATACAGAGAAGTATCGCAAAAGCATTCCTCTTCACACGCTGGATGTTGCACAAAAATTAAGCTCAATCATGGTGATGAATTTACATGTATGTTTTCAAAGTTTCCAAAAAGAGTCAGTGCACAGGACACACGACATCAAAAAACACTGAGATACACATAATATTCAAAATTCAGCTGGTCAACCAATTTTCTCAATTCAGTCATTAGTGTGAAATTGATGGAAATCACATTAAAGAAGTTCTTTAATATTTTAGGTACTTTTCTCTCTGTCACCATATGAAAGAATTACATAAACATGTGAAACAGAAACAGAGTCTTGAAAAAGTAACAACAGTTTTAGTCTTAAAAGGTGTATGCTATATTTTTTAACAAGCTGGTTCATTCATCTTTCAGAAACAAAGAAGAAAACTGTTCACAGAGGTCCACAGCCTCCTGTCCCATGGCACCAGTACAAGAGAGAAACAATTAAAACGGTGTTTGGGTTTACCAATTCTCACTTGCAGCTTGATCTTTTGACAGCATAACAAATCAAAACTTACTTTCCAAAATCAGTCTGTATTTCTACTGGTGTGTTACTCCCCTATTTTCAGTTTCAGCTTTAAGCATCAGACCAAAAAGTTTTCTTTGAAGCTTTCAGGAGAGCTGAAAGCAAGTCACTTTTTTTTTTTTTTTGAGTACCCCTGGACACGCGATCAAATTAAAGAAGAGC